TCCCTGATTTGGTCCCTAAACTATTGTACGGACCCCCGATTTGGTCCCCACTGTTTATAATTTGGCCTAAGTTGGTCATTGAACTATTGTACGGACCCCCAATTTGGTCCTTATTGTTTACAATTTTGCCCCAATTTGGTGCCTAAGCTATTATTTAACAGAATGACCAAGTTGGGGCTAAATTGATAAACAGTAGGGATCAAATTGAGGATTCGTATAATAGTTTAGGGACTAACTTGGGGTCCGTACAATAGTTTAGGGACCAACTCAAGAGTCCGTACAATAGTTCAAGGACCAAATTAGGGATTTCTTTAGTTTAGGGACCAAATCGGGGGTTCGTACAATAGTTCAGGGACCAAAATGAGGATTTAACCCTTTTTTGTTTTGTTTTTGACAATAAAAACTGAAAATTAAAGATACGCAAACCTGATTTAGGATCTAATGCTCTAACACCAAGATGATGAGAACCCCAAAGAGAACAATGAGACCCATAGCACGACAAGGGATTTCTAAACTCTAGGAAAGCTAAATCAAGTTTATGATAGGACCTTGACCCATTGTTTATGTCACAACAAGAACCAAAGGTACAAACCTTGACCCTTTGTCTATGACACAAAAAAAAACTAGAGGTATAAAGTTGGTTGATGTCACAGCCTCGAACGATTAAGAACAAGAATGGTAAGTCAGGTTAGAACACGACAAGAATAATCTCGATAAGTTTTATAAAATTCTGAAATGAACCAAAGAGAAAAATCTCTCAAAAACTCAGATTCAATAGCTCCCCCCAATTAGGGTTACAAGCCCTTTATATAGGGAAAAGTAATTCTAATCAGAATAGGAAACTAACGCCCTGAGCCCTAATCCTAATAACCACGAATTGGGCCTCAAATAAATGAATGTTCAACCCAAAATAATACAAAAAAGTGAAAATTACTGAAAGTAACCTAAAGTAACATGAAATATTAGTTTGTTACAAATTGCAACAGAATTGTCGAATTTTGACGCAAACTGTGTAATTTATCATAAATGACCTCAATTAAGCTTCTCTTGAATCTGAATGATGTTTACCTGCCTTGATAATCATCCAAGCTTCAATTTACTTGTTGCATGTTGTTATCAACCCAAATCTGCTCAATAAGGCCATTTAAAGCTTCTTGCATCTTCCTAGCTCTAACTCTCGTTACTAGACCTCCTGAAATGTGTAATGGACCTCTTGACGTGGTACATGTGGGGTCATCTTGATTCCCATCAGAATTGGTGGTTAAAATCAAATACATGTTCATATTGAGAAAAAACAATCTAAGCAACTATACCCTGCAATCAAATTTTAGGTTTAGAAAAATTTTTAAAACAAAACAATAATGAAAGAAAGTGGGGAGTTTAAATAGTTGATACTTGACTTTCTTCATCTTTTGGTTGGGTAATTCTTTTTTTATTTTTGAATATTTAAATAGCCTTGCCTCTTCATCTATCAAGAGAAATTAATTTATACCGTAATGCAAAGAGAAGCATTATTTAGAGGACCTTGCCTCTTCATATATCAAGAGAAATTAATTAGCATGTTACACAAAAAAAAAAAAGTTAGATGAACCAATCTCTAATATAATATAAGAAAATATAAATTAATGATTAGAATCTCTATATCCCAACAACTAATTCTTTGATTAAAAAAATTTTTCAAGCAAAACATTTAAATGTTGTTATCAACAATTGAAAAAACCTTAAATTCACCTACAGTAACTATTGATGATTGAAAAAGAAAAAGAAAAAGCAATCATAAGAATGCATATATGGAGCAGAGGGGAAAGAATTAGTATTAATAGGTAGCATTTGACTCTTCATTTCCTTAACTCATCAATCAATTTTTGAATATTTAGACATTGACTCTTCATTTTCTTCATTTAAGAGTTTTTAAATATTTAAAGTTTGGTCTTCCATGTTAAGTTAACGTTGCCTCTTTATCTACCACATTTATTCATCAATTTTTTTTATCATTTGCAATTTTCATTTATTTTTTTTCATTATTTATAATTTATAATTTTCATATGTTTTGCATATTTTGTTTCAACATTTTAAATTATTATAATATTATATTCTAAGTAAATGCATACTCTATTTAATGCATATGTAGCATTTTATATATGCACTAGATTAGATTTTAAAGCCAGTGCATTACATGAAATTTTTTTATATTTTTTTAATATTATATAATTATTTTTATAGTAATTTTTATGATAAAATTGTTTTAAGATATTATAGTTATTTTTATTCATTGAATATTAAACTAAATTTTTTGATGGGGTTAACTGTTTTAGTATTAATTTTTCATAATTTTAGATTTTAAATAGTGTTATATATTTTGGTAATTATTTTATACTTATAGATGCAATGGTATTTTAAACTTTATAGTTGGGTATTTGTATTAAGTAGAGCTCCAAACCCACAAAACCTCTTTGTTTATATTGTGTAATTATTTTTGTAGTAATTTTTATAATGCAATATTTTTTTTTTTTCGGATACATTTGGTGATGAGATGTACAATTAGGGATAACTATTCAATTCCCAAAGTCTTGATTTCTCACCTTTTCTTCTACTTGAATTTGAAACTATAAATATGAAAATTCAACTTCAACCTCCATATTTGAGTTCTACGATGCAATTGTTTTAAAAAGTGGTATTGTAATTCATATATTTCTTAAAATTCAAATGAGTTTCTTTTTTTATTTTTTCTTTTAAAGGTTAGACTAATAGGATGTAACATGCTTGCTTGTGATTTTTTTGTTTACAGAGAAAAATGATGTCATGTCCCAGAACCCAAATCCGAGGACGTGGCAGACACTGTGCACTCATGAGAGGGTCCCACAAATGCACAAGGCTCGAAACTTATCATACCACAATCTGATACCACAAAATCTGAAGATAAAATTTTAAAATTGCCCTAATATCATAAAATCTATAAATAAAATCTAGCTTACAAGATCATAATTAAATCTAAAATCTATGTTCAATTTACAAGATGGCTAGCCTTCTAACTTGTCACTCCCCTCGTTTTTCCTCGTCCTTAACTTCGCTTCCTGAAATGGTGGACAAGGAAAAACTATGAGATAACTCAATAAGTAAAAATATGGATAGCCCGTGGGTAAAATTTAAGCATGCCAAATAAACAGTTTAACATAACAAAACGTTCAACGATAAACCGTTAATACAGAATTAAATTCAATTCAATAGCAAAGTGTTTAATGACAAACCGTTAATGCAAAATCAGATTCAGTTCGATAACAAAGCATTCAATGAAAAATCGTTAATGTAGAAGAAAATTCAATAGTAGTCTCATCTATAAGTCATGGCCAGCGTTTAACACCCACTGGCAGGCGTAAAAAATTACCAATGTGTTCGCCCATTGGCAGGCGTCAGAAATTACCAATGTATTTACCCAGTGGCAGGCGTCGGAAATTACCAATGTATTATCCCATTAGCAGGATTACAGAATGAACCTGTCCTATCAGTAAACATGTCAACATGTGCTAGCGTTTACTCCCACTAACGGGAACACGGATAACATGACCATATCAGAGACAAAACCATGTAGGATTTACAGAAAAATTCATAATTCACAATCAATCTCAAATTTCAGAATAAACCTGAAAATTTCCATGTGGGCATGGATTTAACAGAAAAATAAGAATTTACAAAATTCTCAGATCATCAGGGCAGTTAAGCAAATTCCAAGTAGGCATGCTTTACTCAATGAAAATGAAAATAATTCCATTTCAAACCAATCATGGTCAATGCTAATAAAATCAATTTAAATCAATAAAATCAATTTAAACCTTGCCACCATCTCAAAAACAATTTAAAACATGCTTTGAAATCGAAGGGCGTTACCATAATTTACTTACCTCAATCGCACAAAACCGAGGACTCAATCCAAGTGCTGAAGTGCCCCAAGGATCAAGAACCTAACCAAAATATCCAAGAATTAATATCGCACTACTACAAATTCAAAGTGAAATCATCATTAGGACTACCCCTAATCACGATGCTATTCCTATCAGTCTCCACATGACTGGACATCTCCAAATTTGTTCTTATATTACAAACTTAAACATTTAATCCTCGTTAATTGTTGGCCATTAATGCGTAAACAATATCGTGAACAGTATAGTAACTGCAACTTCCAAAAATTGGCAAAACAATAGCTAATTTCATAGGATTTTTCTCTAGAACCTCACAGTAGCTAATTAACACTCAATCACATAAATTCTACTTGAATTAATGCTTAACTGTAATACCCCAAAATTTGTGATATTTTAGCATTAAATTAAGGACTAAATTGTGGAAAAATATTGTTTTGGGCTTAATAGCCAAAATTTCAAAAGCTGAGGTATTTAAAAGAGGAAAGAATTTGGATAAGGATCAGCTTCTTTTCTTTTTCTCTTTTTTTTCTTTCTTTCTTTCCTTCCTTCTTTAGCGCGCGCATCTGCTCTTCTCTTCTCCCCTGCAGCTCCTGAAATCCCCCCAAGCTGCTGGCAACAATTTTTGAGAAAAAACCGGTAATAAGCTTGGATTTTCCCCTTATTTTCTTGTTCAATAACCAAATTTGAGCTTAGAAACCTCCCCCCTTGCAGAGAAAATTTCGGATCTGCCTTGCTCTGCTTCTTCACTGCCGGCTGCTCCTGCCTTGTGGGGGCGAATTGGTCTGGTTTCTGGTAAGATAACAGCTCGAAATTCCCCTTTTCTCACTTGATTTGGCTTGGGTTTACTTTAATTCCTCTTGGTTCTCCAAATTTTGGGTAGTTCCGTGAGCTTCCCCCTGCACTGCCACCGGCTTCTCCCCTTGCCAAGTCCGGTTCTATAGGTGGAAATTTTGGTATGTTGACAGCCCTCCAAGCCCCGAATTTGTCCATTTATTTGCTGCCTTGTGTGTCCGAAATTTGCTGAAAAATGGGGATGAAATTTGATAGTAATTAGACCATGATTTAGCTTAATTCAAGTGGGATTTATGTGATTGAGTGTTAATTGACTGCTGTGATTTTTGGAGAGAAAATCCCTTGAGATTAGCTATGGTTTTGTCAATTCATGGAAGTGCAGTTACTGTTTACGGCACTGTTCATGAACACTGTTCACGGACACTGTTCATGAACTGATGGCTAACAATTAATGGGGATTTAAATGTTTAGTTTGTAATATAAGAATAAATTTGGAGATGTCTAGTCATGTGGAAATTAATAGAAATAGCATCGTGATTAAGGGGCAATCATGGTGATTTTACTTTTGAATCCATGGTACGATAATTAATTATGGAACATTTTGATTAGGTTATTGATCATTGGTTGCTCTAGCACTTGGATTGAGTCCTCAGTTTATGGAGTGAATTTTCTATGTTATGTGATTTAAGGTAAGTAAACTATGGTAATGCCCTTCGATTTTAAAAGTATATTTTAACCTGTTTTTGAAGTGGTGGCGGGACTAAACTCGTTTTATACAAAAAATAAGCATGATAGATTTGAAATAAAATTATTATTCTTTTTATTGAATTGAGCATGCCTACTTGAAATTTAATTGATTGTCCTGATGATCTGAAAGTGATTGGTGAATTATGGTTTTTCTGTTAACTTATGCCTGTTTTGTCTCCGATGTGGTCATGCTATTAGTGACCTTGCTAGTGGGGGAGTTTATAAATGCTAGCACATGTCGACATGTTACTGATAGAATCGATTCGTTTCTGTTATCCTTAGTGGGATTATACACTAATAAATCGTGTGCCTGCCAGTGGGAGGTTTATAACACTGGCCATAACTTATAGAGGAGACATCTATTTCGTTCCCGTACTATATCCGTTTTTCATGATTACACTTGTTGGCATGCTATAAGTTTAATAAAGGGCACTCCATATTTTGCTTATTGAGTTTATCTCATAGTTTTTCCTTGTCCACCATTTTAAGAAGCGAAACCGATGATGGAGAAACCACAGGAAGTGACGAATTAGAAAGTTAGCCATTTCGAGATTAATATAGATCATGATCTTATAAACTGGATTTTAATTGGAGATTTTATAAATTTATTGAATGGATTGTTATTACACGAGATTTGACCTTAAAATTTTGGTGGTATCAGATTGTGATATGATAAGTTCGAAACTTTGTGCATTTATAGGACCCTCTCACAAGTGCATGGCTTTTGCCACGTCCTTGGATTCGGGTTCTAGGGCGTGACATAAACTGTCCTAAAGCTACCGGAATTCATCCGCTAATTACTGCAGAATTTGGACAGCACAGGGCTTTGGCAACACAAGTCACAAGATTTTTCTCCAAAATCACAGCAGCCAATCAAGATAATTTTCTACATGAATTAAACTAAGAAAAATCATCTCACTGCTGTCGGAATTCTTCCCTCTTTCAGCTGAAAATCTGAACAGTACAAGGGCAAATTGAAGGCAGAAAATTCAAAAATTCAGGGCAGCAATTAATTGATAAAAATCTAGACTTAAGGAAGCTATCATCTTACCGAAATTTTCCGGCAAGCAGAACCAGATCTAGCGGGTAAGGCAGGGACGAGATTTGGAGAGAACTAACACGAAATTGACAGAAATAAAAGCAATTAGAGTGAACCCAAGCCAATTTAGAGCTGAAGAGAGGAAATCATGGTTGTTGCTTACTGGAAAAAGCCCAGAAATTCGCATCACAAGCTACAGCTCGCGGACAGGGGAGGGGGAGAAATCGAGCAGATCTGGAAAAATTTCCTGCAAGGGGAGGATTTCTAAGTCCTAAGTTGGTTCTTGAACAAGAAAGGAGGGAAAATCATCAAGCTT